CACTGCCAGGGATGGGACATCCATGGCTTCTCTGGGCAACCTGCTCCAGTGCCTCACAGGGAAGAATTTCTTCATAATATCTAATCTAGATCTGCCATCTTTCCTAATAATTAAATAAAAATCAAAGATGGGATTTTGAGTGTGCTGTGTTGTGTTTTGAGTGTGTGTTGTGTTTTGTTTAATTACAGCACCCTCTTCAGAATTTCTCTTTAAACTTCTGCTAAAATGTATTTTTATGATGCCTATCAGATTTCTCTGTCTCTCATACAACATCCCTGAAGGGCTCTGTTGTGAAGTTATCATGGAGTTTAGCTACTACTTTCCTGAAAAGGCAAACTCCATGTGTATATCCTGTAGACATAGTCCAAAACTGGAACAATATTCAGATAAATTGTCATTGCCATCTTCTTTATAGACTAACAGGCTTCTCTTACCCCAGAGACTTGAAATGGAGTAAAGACCTGTAAAGATTTCATTGTTTCCCTGAACATTCAACTTGCTTTTCTGAATTTCTGTATGATTTTTAAGATTATTCAAGGGGAGTATTTATTCATATTGGATCAGTAAAAAAAGTTTCCATGATGAAACACTCTGTTCATATACATTCAGCATCTGTATGGCTGCAATAACTAAATACAAAAGCACACTCTGCAGGGAGAACTCTTGAAAATGTGAAGCTGAAGTGGACCACACTGAAGTGTCATGGTGAGATGCATCCTTGTGGGTGTCCACAGTACAGCCAGGAGACACTCTCTGGGCTTTCAAAATCCTATCTGGGCCTTTATTGCACTGAATACAAATCCTGAGTGAGTTCTCTAGGGGAGCCTCTCATGATTATTCCAGAGTTCTGTCCAGAACACAGTGGAAGAAAAAAATATAGCCAAAGCCATAGTGAATGACTTTGGGCTGCTGCCACTGCCTCATGCCTGCCTGGCCTGCTTTGAGCTGAGCAGGGAGGAAAACAAGGTATGTTGAGCATATTTGCAGCAGCTGCCAACAAACCACTCTCCCATCAACCTTGCTACAGCTCTGGTTCTTACAGACTGATGAGACAGTGCTTGGACTCCTGAGAAATCAGGGAATTGCAGATTTCCTTCCTTGTAGTTCAGAAGAATCTCAACAGGTTTTGCTTAGCTGGGTACATGTGCTAATCTGCTTTATCAACCTACTTGCTACACTGCTGACCATGTTTGTAAGTCTGTTAAATGTAAAATGATGAACGAGCTACTGCAGTGTAATTGCAAGACTTCCAAACTGCCAAAGTAAATGACTTATAGTGCCTTCGTTTACTTTCTAGCAGATAAAAATAACTTTTGCACCACTGCCTAACCTTTTGTAAAGACAAGATTTCTGCAAGTGTTTTTCAACACCAGCAATTCAATGGCTGACACACATTTATGCAAGTAAAGCTTGTTTTGGGCTTACTCTCTAGAAGTTGTGTTTTCACTGATAAATATGTTTTCCATAGGTCCTGCAGTTTTTTTCCTCCAAGAGAACAGAAATTTCTAACTTCAAAACAGGAAGTGAAAGGTTACATTCAAGTTGTGCTGTGGTCGATTTCAGTAAGGGTTTTTTTTCACTAGTGTGATAAAAGCAGATGTCAAGAGAGAACTCATGGAGGAGTCTACCTGAAAGCCTGGGGGAGGGTAGGCAGTGGGTAGATCAACTGTGTTTCTTTTTTCTTGCAGTTCCTGCACTGCTCCTCATCTCTGGTCTACAAACCTTGCCAATGGAAGTGGGGAAACAGATGGGTCAGGAATTGGCTTTATTTAAGAAGTCATTATCTGTGTGCATGGAACTGTGTTGGCAGCACTGCCACTTATCTGTCATCCACACCACTTTGGTGTTTTGGGTTCAGCTGCAGTGTGAAACTCTGTGTACATACATGTGTGTACTAGAACCATGTCACAGGCACGCTCCTCTAACACCTCTCATCTATTGGTGACACTCTTACTTGGCTTAAAAAAGGGAACACCGTGAACAGCCCTTACCAGTAGGTGCTGGAGTTTTCCTAGTGGGAATGTCAGACTGAAGGAGATTATTCTGTAAGCTGTCTCATCTCCTCTTACACATTGTAAAGTTCACTCCTTCCTCAAGGACTGTGCAGTATCAAATGTCTGTTGAACAACAACCTGCTTGTGAGTGCCAGAAGTGAGGCTAACTCAAATTTTCTTGTGATGAACCATTGCACATTCTCCTTGCAGGATTAAAAGAACAACATTTTAAACTTCTGGTATACCCTGAAGAGTGTTTGTCTGTTGTGAACACCCTTGATGCTCCCACCTGAAGGCATTATAGGAAAGGGATCACAACCTTGCTTCAGTTTCTTCTGAATAAATCCCTAATAAAATCCCTACAATTCTTCAGTGAGTAGAGTTTAGATGTCGATGGTCTCACCTTCACACATTTTAATTACAGAAATTTATCATGCCTTCTTCGATGTTCCCCGTATTTTCTGTTGCACAAGAGTTTACCACGGAGGACAATCCTTTGGGAGAAGAGCTGTGTATTGTGTGAGAACAGTGCCTTGACTATTTCCAGGTGCCTGGTAAAAAAGATCTCAGTGAGGAATGATGGGGACTAAATGCACAGTTACTATTTCCTGTAGGACTGGCATAACAGAATAGGAGAAAAGGCATCTTGAACTGTGTTGTGCATCTTCACAGGCTTGAAAGAAACAAGGAAAATCTCTGACCACCACAAGTTTAAGAAAGCAAACATTAATGACATTACATTGATAACCCTTAGAAATGCAGGCATGTGGGAGTTTGATATTAAATTTAATAGGAGTGCATGCAAATTTCTTTCCTTTGCCATGGGCAGTAAAGTCATGATATTATCAAAGAGACAAGCATAGAAATGTGTACAAGAACACCTGCAAGTGGTTGCAAAGAGAAAAAACTATTTATGGATCTTTTGGGGCTTAAAAATGGTGCTGAAAGGGATTAGGTTTTCTCTCATGCTTGACTTTTACACCAAAATTACCTACCCACCATAAAGCTACTGATTAATTTACTTGTAGGAAGCAAGACACTAAAACCAGGCACATGACCATCAACGCAATATTTAACCAGAATGTTTACTATTCACTGGTGTTTGTTTATGCAAATAATTATTTGGCTAGTGTGGCTCTTTGAAGAAAGGAACTCCTTGTTAAAGTACCTGTGCTGCATTCAAGCACATGCCATTTTAAACCTGAAAAGCATTCTGCAGGGAAAAACAAAAAAACAAAAAAACAAAAAAAACCCAAAGAACCCCCAAAACCCCTGGATGATTAAATTTAATGCTGGTATTTTTAAGGTAAAACTAAAACAATTCAAAAATTCATACCGAAAGAAAACAGATCTATCCTTAGGCTTTCTGGCTTAGGTATCCTAAGAAAGGAACTGCAACAAAATCTAGATTCAGCGTTAAAAATGCCCTTTGCAGAGGCACAGAGACATATGGGGAGCTTTGTCAGAAGCAGCAAAGCCTCCAGAGCTGGTGGATGAGGTGAGTGGTCTCACAGCTCCCCAGCTGCAAGGAGCAGTCCTCTGCTGAACTCATTATTCAGGTTCCTGGTTGTGTAACTTGCTATTTGTTCATTTTGCTGGTGTGGTCAGGAGTCACTCGGAGCCAAGGAGCCTGACAAACATCTGCTTTTTCCAGGTCTGTGCTGGAACAGATTGTCACCCTGAAGCCCCAACATCTGCTCTGTGCAGAGGAACAGTTGTGGTACTCGCTTGGTGCCAGAGCCTCTTAAAGGCACATTTCCCTGCAAAGCAGCAGAGCCTCAGTGGGATAGATGAAGGGTCAGGTTTTGGAGACAGAAGGTTGACTTCCAGGGATTTAACAGGGATTTACCTCTCAGCTTTTCCTGTGCTTCCTAAAAAATGAAGTACACAAGTAATAAGGCTGAATTTACTTGGGTTTTTGGTTTGTTTTGGTTTTTTGGGTTTTTTTTGTTTTTTTGCCGATTTGTTTTGATTTGGTTTCGGTCTTCTGTGTTTTTCAATAGAGCAGCCCAGAAAGAGATCATGCAATCTGCTGGAAAATGTGTCTTTCATCACAGAATCATAAAACAACTTAGGTTGGAAGGGGACTTTGGAGGGCATCTGGTTCACTGCCTTTCTCTGAGCAGGGAAAGCTTGCAACTTTTATCTGTCTGAGATGGGAAATGAAGTTCTCTAGGGAAGAAAAGCCTTAAACAGGAGAGCTGCACCTGCAACAGTTCTGGGATTTTTTTTCCCCTGTATTTTGCCTGATTAGAGCCCAGAGTGACTGGGCTGCTAAAGTGTATCTGTTCCAACAAAACCCTCTGCTAAGCTAATTACAAAGGTCTTCTGTTGCAACCCACTTTGCTAATCCTCAAACAAATTCAAAGTGATTATCTTGGCCTACTACAGGCAAGGAAGAAAAGTAAGTCCAAATGTAACTGAGGCTTCATTACAAATTTAAGAACTAATGACAGTCAAGCAGATATGGGATATGTTATGTATTTTACTTTTATTAAATGATAATTCTATTTTACATTATGTGCTAAAACTTTGGGGACAGGGGAGGAAGGTGATGTATCCAAATAGCAGTGCAGATTGTAAGGCTTTTACCCTCCTTTAATTCAAACCATCCACATGAAATACACTACAGCCTAAATATATTGGATTATTGGGTTGTAACAGGAGGATGTAAGCACATCCTGCCTCCTTTAATTCCGTTTTACATCAAAAACATGAGCGGGCTGCGGCGCTCGGTCGGTGCGGGAGGTGGAACGGCTCTCCCGGGAGCCAGAGCTCCGCAGTGGCGGCACGGGGGCTGCGGCTGCCCCGGAGCCAGCCCGGGGCGCGCAGGGCCGCGGCCAAGGGAGCTGCCGGCTCCCGCTGCCGTCCCGGCTCCGGCTCGGAGCAGCGGCCGTTGGGCGCGCCCGTTATTCCCGCCCGCCGTTCCCGCCCGCCCATTCTCCTCAGGCGGGCGGGGCGCCGGGGCCGGGCGGGCGCCGGGGGCGGGCTGGGGACAGACGGGACGGGACAGTGCCTGTTTCCCGCACCGCCGGGACAGCGACGCCGAGGCTCCCGGCTTGCAGCCGCCCCGCCATGGCTCTCAGCTCCGAGCGGCTCTTCGACTCGCTGGGACATTTCGGCAGGTACTGGGGGTGCCCCGCGGGCGGCTGTCACACCCGGACATCCCCGTGCGGGGACCGCTGGCTCCCGCGCTGGCCGGGTGTCACTGCTGCCCCAGGGGCAGGCGGCTCCGTGCGCTGCCGGCGGGGCGCTCACTCGGACGCAGCGACACATGCACGGGGACTGTCACACGCTCGCAGAAAATGACAGGCGGCAGCGCGCTGGGTGAACTCACACGGAACTGACAGGCACTGCTGCTTGTATTTGCAGCACCCCACGCCCCCTCCGTGCACTTTTCCACGCGCGTGCGGCACATCCCGTGTGTGCCCGGCTCGCGCCGCAGCCATCCCACATGGCCTCACGGGGCTGCCGGCTCCACGTGCGTGCAGCCGCCCCGTCAGGGCCGTGCGCTCTTAGAGGCTTAAAACTCACACATTTATTGCACTTGTGAGCGGACAGACAGACAGACACACACAGCCCCAGGGTCTGGAACAGCCTGCGCACTTCAGGGGTGACAGAAGGGCACAAACAGTATGCGGAGGAGCGCTGTGTGACACTCAGGCTGTTTCTGCTTAGGGACACTGGGTTGTTGAGAGCAAGAGATGATGTGCTTTTCATTGAGGCTGGGTTTGTTGTCTGTGTTACAGGCATATGGAGTATGTGCATATGTCCTTATCAGCAAGGGTTTTACCTGTATGGTAAATGATGTGTGCCTGGTGGCGAGTTTCTTTTGATGTGCCTTGTGGCTGTGGGGTGTGTGTGTGTACAGAGGTCTGTGCTGGATGGATACACAGACATGGCATGTGTGTGTCTGTTCATGCTTCTGTAGCTCTGGGTGCAGGGCTGCTGACTGAGACTGCTTATAGCAGGTAATGGAGAATAAATGTTAGGCAAGGAAATTAAGTTTTAGAGGATATGAATATTAAGGCTAATGCGTGCACATCCTCACAGTGAGCTCTCTCCTGCACGTCCGTGATGTGCTGGTCATCGTGAGGTTTGCAGGCACACGCTCCTCGGAGCAGATGGCTGGAATAGACCCATGTGTCACAATTTGGCTACGAGTTCAAGCTGTTGAATTGCAGTGTTGTGCTTTCTACCTCAGTGACCAGTGAGCCAGCCTAACCCACAATGTTGGTCTTCTCTCAGTGGCAGGCAGGAGCAGCATTTTGGACAAAGCCTGGGAACTCCTTGTAATGGTTGAAGTGCCTGAACTGCAGCAGGAGAGGCTCTTAATATCATGTGCAAGCAGTAGTGGTGGGTATCAATAGCCTCCTCAGATGGTTAGGATGGAAAGAAGTTTTCTTGCTTAAGTGGCACCTGTGCTTAAATTAGGTGTTTGACTAGGTTGTGACTTACAGGCATGTGTAGCTGAACAAATCTCATTTGTTATCAATTCTGGGTCAGCAACAAAAATACCTTGTTCTGTGTGAATTAGGAGAGAAATCCCAGCAATCAGTTGATTTTGCTGCTGCTGTTGTTTTTCTATTTTGTGCTCTTTGTGGAAAGCAGGCACTTGACAGTGAATACTGAAATAACACAAAAGTAGTTATTTTTAATTACTGGAGTGGTTTTCCTACTTGAGAACATTTATCAACACTTTAGGTAAAGTTTTCAAGACTACTCCTTGCAATTAAAAGGAGACCAAATCTACAGCAATAACCTGACATCTAGGGATCACATTATTTGAGAAGCAGTTCAATAAGAGCTGCTTTAAGTTTAGGAGCTTTGAGATGAGATGCAGGCTAGACCATAAATCTAACTGAGATTTCAAAGGCCACAGTAATGGTATAGTATAACAGTAAGTATAACAGCAGTTTATGGTGGGTGAAGCTATTAAAAAATATTGTAAAAACTTTTAATAGTGCTAGATTAAATGATCCTATTTCATATGAAAAGTTGTTCATAACTGTAACCATTGAGTTTCTTCTGCTCAGTTTGCAGCATCCTGGCACCAAGAGATAATCAGTTGTTCATTCTTCAGTTCAGGCAATTCCCATAAGGCCCATATAACCAATGCACTATATATAGATTCTGTAGATTTGACACAGTCAGATTCTGAGCAATCCCAGCATGACTGTTAGTATTTTGAGACTGTTTTGATTTTCTTAAAATCGGACAGATGCGGTAGGGAATGAGCAGCTGTTCATACAGATATATAAATACAGGAATAATAAGCATGCATTTTATGTACATGTAATATATAATACATAGCTATAGAAAAGTTATTAATATACAGATAATATATTAGTTATTAATACACAGATAATATATAAATTATTAATATAAAGATAACATGTATACCTTTCCCATTGATTAAGATTGTGAATTTTACAGAATTGACATTCACATGGATGCAGACAATATTTTGCTTTCCATTTGGGCTCTCTTTCACAGTCCTCAGTGCTGCCCTTGTTCTTAACAGGGTCTTAAGACATGCATGAACAGCCATAAAAATGTAATGGCTCCTGCAGCCTATGCCATTAAATGAAGACTTTATGCCTCTGTTTTAATTTGGGCATGGGTAGCATCTGTGGCCTATAAATTCAAGAAGGTTGTTTTAAACATTGTTCTTGACTCTGTGGAGCATGAGATCACTGGTCACTCTTGCAGAGATTGGGTGACAGACAAATAGTGCTTGCCTGACTCAGATGGCCTCATCACTAAAGGGTTGCCAAGCCTTAAAGGATTGCCAGGCTTCCCAATGTACCTGCAGTGAACTGCATCCTTCTCCCACTCAGCAGATCCTGCCAGACTGCACCTATGGGCTCTCCCTCTCAGCCCCCTGCCTCAGCCCCTCTCTGCCACCCTCTCCAAGTCCAAAAAGCCTCTCAGAGGCCCATCAGGTAAAGTCAGGTGCAGTCAGACACTGGCTGTCCCTGGCACCCCTGTGCTGGGAAAGGGGAGACACGATCAGTGGCCATGAGCTTGGCGGCACAGTGGGTAGGTGAGCCTTAGGAGATGGCTCACACTGCCTGCATGGCTAATTCCCAGGGAAATTAAAGGACTGTTAATAACTTCAGTGGCTTTAATCTACCAGCAGGACACAAAACATACACGAGTGTTTCTCACTTGCTGGTGAGAAACAGGCTATGTTAGTATAGCCTGCACCATGGCAGTGTGCTGAGTGGGATATGATCTAATCAGGAATGGTTGTCTGGAGGGAGAGCTGGGGAGGTGCCCCTTCTGGTAAGTGTGGATGAGCGTAAGGATTTGATTTCCCAGCTGGAACGTCTGGTAGCTCTGAGATGCAGCTTACACGGTATGCAGCGTTTTCCTTGTGATTAACAGTTTTCAAATCTTGGCTTTTACTTTAGCTAAAAGCAGGTGGTGAAAATTGTCGGGGAGAGAGAGGGAGATTGGGTGTCACTGACACTATTTCCAGATTTTGTAATGAAGTATTTCCAGAATCTTTTAAAATATTGCCTTTTCTTCTGAAATATTCTGTCTTTTACAAAGTTGAGTACATTACCTAGATTTTCAAATGTTGGTTTTATAAAGAATACATTTTACTAGCAGCTAGACTATCCAATAAATTAAAAATTACTGGTATTTGTCTCTACTGAGATATTTATGTATTTATTCAGGTTTTGACATCTTTGCACTGTTGTCTTCTATGAGCTTTTTGCCTGGTCAGTGGAGTTGCTACTGTTTGGACTTTAGAAGCAAGCAAACCAAAGATTAGCAATGGCTATTGTGAGGAGGAGGGAAGCAGGAAGAGCTGCCTATTTGGATAGAACAGTCACCTGTTCCAGCCAAACACAGGATTTAGTAGACATTAATACACTTACCAGCAGTTTTGACATCTCTTCATTACCCTGGTACTTTTCTAGTGTTTATAAATATATGAAAGAGTCTGCTTAGCTAAAAAAACTTGCTTGAATTTTGTAGAAATTCCTTGTATTGGACTTCTACTGACTGCTAGTCAGTGCCATGGTAGCATATTTGAGTGGCTGGTGCTAACAACTGTTTCTCCTCTCCCTACTTTGCAGAGCTTTGGTTCACTTCTAAAGCTCTACACCAAACAGTCTGTCTTCTTTTCACATCTTGGAACTTTTCCAGGCTCCTCTTTTCATGCTGTTGCCCTTATCCTCTCTCTTGTTTCACAGATCACAGCTCTTGTGATCAGATTACATCTGCAAATTGTGCTGTGTACATTTTACTTCCAGAAGTTCTTGGTTTGTATCAATTAACAAGGAGTCCCAAGTATCTCAAAGATCTTGCTCACTGCTTCTTTTCACGAAAATTATAAGAGAACACTTTCAAGCAATGATTTTTCACACTCACATCTGTGATTTACAGATACCTTGAAAGGTTCTTTCCCAGCAAAAGTATATTTTTCAAGTGGAGAAGTGTGCTTGTTAGATATGGAAAGAAACTGGTTTTACTTTTTCAAGTTAGTATGGAGAAGCAGGTCACTGTATTCATATTCAGCATTTGAACAGTCAAGTTTTAATTGAAAAAGTGGAAGCATTACCAGATTTTTCTCAAATACTGATACATTTAGTACTTAGTACATTCTACACAAAATTAGTATTTTTAAACAATATAATGTGAATTTCTGCTTAACCTTTTAGTAGTTTGCTGAAGATTAACAAAGTGCTGTGGTTTAGAGATTGTTTTTAAAAAAAAAATCCTTTTTTCCTCCATTGCTACCTTATACAGTGGAAAAGTTTATTGAAACATATCTGTCATTCTGTTTTCAAAATGTTCCAGTGGACAGCTGTCAGACAGAAGAATCTCATATCTACGTCCTCCTTTGGCTCCCAGTCAGGGGTGGTGTTTGACAGAAATGTTTGATAAGCATTCTTACAGCTATGCTATATTCTAACATCTGAGTCAGCCTGTGCTCATTTCAGATGTTCATAGGATGAAACTGGGGAACTTGACAGCATTTCTTTTTTTCCCCTTTTTTTTGGTGGGGGGGAGGGTGGGGGGATATTTTGCAAATAGTGCTTAACCTTGTTGGTTGAAAGGCGTGGTAATGGCTTTGGAGAGCTGAGACAGCCCGTGTGTTTTCAGAGAACAAACTCCAGCAGCCCAAACAAAGGCCTTATTATCTATGCCTGACTAGGCAAAAGTGGAAATGTTCTCAAGACTCAGAACCAAAGCTGGATACTGGCAAGTGCTGCAGGATAATGGTGGCAATGTGCGAGCAGCATGGTCTGCAGGAGGTTCTAACAGCATTTGCTGGGATCTGAGGGCAGTCTAAAGCAAGATCTGCACAGACAAAAGTGTTCTGCCACAGAACATGCTGGCATCCTCACCCTGGAGGTGCTTGCCTGTTTCTGGCTTGAAAAAGTGGATTACAGTAAGAGAAGCAGATTAAAAAGTAGATTGCCATAATAGAGAGATGACTAAATCAAAAGCAGGATGAAATTGCACCTGTACTATCCATTTCTTCTCTAAGGCTAGAACCTGCAGTGCGAGCAACCCTGAAACCTAAAGCTGGTAAATCAATTATGATTTGCCAACCAGACGGCTGAGATTCACCTCTGAAATGTTGCCAACACCTCAGGGTGGCTTCTAAACCAAGTTGTAAAATAGACACAGTTATGGCAGCATAAGGCAGTTATCACACATGTCAGGGAGCTGATGATCAACTCTTTCATCCTGAAATATTATGGTGTGAATGAGTATGAAATATGTAAGGCACTGGACAGTGTGTTCCCTGTAATACAATGCTTAGGACAGGGATACCATTCCTATAAAAGCTGTTTCAGTAATTTTCTTATAATAGTAATAATTTTCAGCAATATTAAGATATCTCTAAGTTGGGCAGAAATTTGTATTAAAGGCCTTACTCATGGAAAGTTTGAATTTATTGCAGGAAGTAAAGTCATACAAGCAGAAACACCTTTAAATTTAGGAAATTTTTGGAAGGCCCCAGGAGCCTTTAGCGCATTCTGTGACAATTTCTGTGCCACCATTTTGCTATACACAACAAGGACCATACTGAGATACATACACTGCTGACATTTTATTTAAGATAACTCAAGGCACAACACTCTAGCAGCTGAACAAGAACATGAGATCCTCAGCTTTTCAGAAATATGGAAAAAAATAGCATGCCAGAGAAGATACCAGCTGAGGTAGCTATATCTTGTTTACAATTGCAAGACTGGAAAAAGCGTGATGAAAAATTGTAGAAGACAGAGATTTACAAGTCCTAATAATGATGGTTAATCTGTCAAATTGTCCATACACTTTGAGATAAATCTTAGCTGTCTTGGGAAAATACTGAAATTGCTTAGAGA